CAAGGTGCTACTGTAATATAAATAATAAATACAATAAAATAATAAATAGTAGACAGCTGGTATTACTTACTACTCCTAAACTAACCATCCTATTAGCCATCATATTTCTGCACTTGTTCATCCAGTTTAACTATAACTGTGCAGTTGCAGACTTCACAGATGCCTCAGAAGAACCAAGAAAAAACAGATATCCACAATTTGTTAAAGAGGTCAATAATTACAAACTTGCCTCTCCCCCAGGCCAGGAGGCAGCATGACGCCACATCTCTCTTACTGAGAAGCAAACCTACAGAGTTCAATGCACATCTAGCCTGACTGCCACATTAAAAGTTCTGCTGCAACCCTTGATATACAAATCAACCCCCGAGGCACTGAGAATGATAATTGCTGTAAAGTGCCCTGCTTTGACAGTAGGAGTTGTGCTCACTTTTCGTTGAAATCATCTTGGGTAAGATTGTAAAGGAATTCCTCCATGACCTCATAATCTTCTACGACCTTACTAATCAGTTCCTACACATGGAGAGAGAGAGACAAACAGAAAAAGTAGATGCCTCCAAATCACTCATATTTAAAGTGTCTGCCAATCACTCATATTTGAAGTGTCACTGACTGGGATGGTCTGGCAGGGTACATATCTTGTTTTTATGAGACACTTTATGTCAGGGTGTTAGTCACACAACCTTGTCTCCCTTACGTCAAGTCCCTCTGTACTGTTTAAACAGTGGGTCCAGTTCTCCAGCCACTTACTCTGTGAGTGGTTGTTGTACTACTTAGACAAAAGGAGCATAACTCAGTGGCCAGAGCCCTGGATTGAGATCCATGGTACCTGGGTTCTGTTCTTGGATTTTGCTACTGTCTCATGATGACTGACCCTGAGCAGGTCAGCTCACTACTTGGTACCCCAGTTTCTCCATCTACAGATGAAAAACTTTATATATGGTAGTCTTGCGGCCAAATTAATAACAACAATATGAATGTGGTAGAGTTGGGGTGATGTTATAACCATCACAGTACAGGAAAAATGGGAGAGGCAATGATTCTTACGGGTGATGTATGCATTTATTGGTTGGTCCAATAAAAGATATCACTCACAAAAAAAAATTGCATCTAAAATTATTAATATAATGTACCAGTGCAATTTAGGATTAAGTGAAGTAGCTACTGAACAGTTGACCCCAGCTACAGTGCAGCTATGTCAATATGAATTCAGAGGCTATATATCTTTATTGTTCAAAGAACTGTAATTAATATTTAGAACAGAGAATAAGTTAATATCCAATATCAGGGCAACATTGCCAGCCACTTCTGTAAATTTCCCTCACGCAGACATCTGCATGCACAGGAAGTGTGTTTGAACATGCAGATCTGGCAGTGAGGCAAAAGACAGCAGCCGCAGAGCCCCCTGCCGACCCCCAGCACAGCTGGAGGTAAGCAGGGCCTGTGGAGAGAGGGGGCTAACCCCTTAGTGTGTGTGGGGGAGGAGGCGGCTGAGTGGAGCCGGGCCAGATCAAGCCCCACCCAGGCCCCTACTTCGCCCAACCCCCCAGGGAGCCACGTGAACAGGCTGCACAAACAGGCGCACTTCTCTGATGGCACGTGAGTTAGCACGAAGTTCGCGCGGGAGGGCGCACGGGAGGTCCCAGGACCCTGCCTATGCACCCCCCAGGGTAGACAGTCCCAGCCGTAGCCAGCCTACCAGAGGCATGCCACGGATGGGGGTGCGCCGCACCC